CTACAAACAGATTTCATCTCAAATTTGTACTTAACACATTGTTACAATCAGTATTTAGCAAAGCAAAGTGCACATTCCTCATCAGTAAATCTGAGAGCAGTACAAGTYGTAATTCCAAGAATAATAAACAAAAGCATGAAATCAACTATCCACATRTAATATCCCCAGTTAGTAATAAATAAATCAAAATATGATGCCTATATACTTTATTTAAGAATTCTGAACCTGTACAGCCATAGCAGTGTTTCACACCTACCTCWGTATCATCTACCTCATTTTCTTCTGACAGGTTAGGAATTTCAACAGATCCCTTATGTTTCTCACCAGACTCTTTCACTGTACCTGTATTAACATAACGAATTCTTAAATGCATTATTAAAAACTATTTCCCCCACAGCAAGAGTTTTACACGTGGAACTCAGTTGTACAGAAGTGTTACCAGAAGGGAGTTRCCTCAAGGCTGATTTGAAGGAACTGAGCAGCACCCTAAGGCTCTCCTGGGAGCTCTGTTCCCTATCCAGGTGCACCGAGGGATGGACAGGGACCCACCTGCTCCAGCACTGCTCTCCCCTGCAGGTGACAACTGCTCTGACACCAACACTGAATGTGCATCTAAGGGTGGCAGGGGAAAAAAATCACCTCCTCTTCCCCTGAACGTGTCTGCTCCGGGCTCAGAAGCACCCTGAGGTGCCAACCATGCCCTCTTCAATTGTGTGAAAGCTCCCAACATGCAGGCATGTGTATCATACAAATATGTATCATGGAGATGCACACAATGAACATTTTTTATAGTAGGAAAATCAGGCACATTTAGAGTACTTGATATTACTTTTAACCACTTTACAATCACTGTGCACTGCAGAGAGCCCCAGCAAGGACAGGAATTAYGCTCCACTTCTGCATCCCTTAGGGCCAAGGCCCACCCACTGAGCTGCCCCTGATCCACACTGGAAAGACTGAGTGTAAGATCTGAGGCTTTTTTTAATTACACTGGAGACTCTCCCCCTTGGCCTTGCAAAAGCATTTTGTTATTCAAATTGACTCGCTAAACAGATCCCGATAAAATCTCTTCAGAAAGCAACAACAGAAACATGCAGGTCTATCAGCTCAGCATCAGGACTTAAAAGATCCAACAAGATGCTTCATCAGCAAAACTCTCAAATTCCAACAGCCGAGGGGTGAGCACAGGGGGATTATCATGAAGGCAGCTGCAGTATTTCTGAGGATTCCCACTTTCACAGGCCCTATCTTGATCCCGCTGCTACTAAACATCACTCTCATTATTTTAATTACTTCTTTGAGCCCCCGTGTGATCSTGGGGCAGCCACAGAACCCAACTGGTCGAGCTCCCAGCGAGGGAGTCTAAAAAATGCCCAKGTGTTCCCTGGCAAGGAGGAGAGTGAAGGACTGTTGGCATCACCAAGTGCCAAGATCCCTCCCCACTCAGGGCTGAGGCAATGAGGGATTGCACAACAGGCAAAGTCTGTTAATCCTCAACTACAAAACCACATCCACACAGGGAAAGCTGAACTAGACCTCAAGCCTCCCTGGAGAACCTGTCACTCAGTAAAGCCATGGGAACTSGTTAATGCCATCCTTCAAACACTTCTGGGCCCACCACAAAGCCACCTCAGTGTGCTCTTCCCAGCTYTTTTCCAGCACCAGGATTAGTACAGGAAAACCACACAATGTGTTCTTTGCAGACAATAAAGCAGGTCTTATTTTTGGTTGCTCTCCACAGAAAGGAAGTGGAAGCACGCAGGAAGGAGTTTTGGGGAGCAAAACACAAACCTGACTCCTTTCAGCTAATTCTATTAGCAATTTTCACAAAATAAAGTTTCATGGTGAGAGTGTCTGTGCTAGGCAGCAAAGTCCAACCAGTGAACAAACAGAGCTGSTGGCTCAACATTACGTAGGCAAAATATTGGTGCAGCTCTAAATGTTCAGTACCACTTTGTAATGTAAACAAAGCTTTACTRCCTTTTTATCAATCAAATTATGTGTTGGAATTCCATGGGACCTCGGTAACAGAACTGACAATTATTTTATTTCCTGCCACTCCAATGTGAAGCACACATCTCAGAAGACCCACCTATAACACACCTGCTTTAAMAGGACAAACGTTTTCATAATGTTTTCATAACAATCCGAAATAATCTATTAAAATCTTAATTACATCGTTTGAGTAATGACAGAACAGCCATTTAGCTCAATTTTAGTGCCATTAAGTATCCTCAATTCCTCGTTTTTCTCTTATCTAAATTGCTAAGCACAACGTTTTTCCAACACTGGACTTTCCAAACCAGCTGCAAATCTCAGGGTTCTTATCATYTGTCCTTACATACCCACATTTTAATCATAACTTGAAGTCCCAGTTATCCTTGAAGACCTGCAGAACTAATTACAGCAATTACAGTTTTTTAGCTGTTCAGTCTGAACTCTCACTTCTAATTCAGACTCTCAAAACACACAACATGATGGCTATCACGAAAAGAACCATCAGCCTCTGTTTTTTTTTTTTATAATTTCCTGTCTAGTAGCCAACTTCTTTAAAATTAAGCTCTCAAAGCCACAATTCACTCAGTGTTAACGAAGCACCCAGCACAAGTCAGAGCTGTCTCTAAACACTGACGAACATAAAGACCTTGAAGAGAAACAGTTTAGAAGGAAMATACACAGAAATAGAAACAAAATACTGTCTGCCCACTTTTAAACTTTACTCTCTGAAATAAGCCACATAAAGCCAAACTAACTTGTGTTTAAAGCTTAAGGTGATTGTAGCTGAACTTAAAGAAGTCAAAAAGCTGGTTACAATTCTTTTATTCACACCGATTTAAACTGCATGACAGAGTATAATGTTTGCCTCTCTGTTAACATTTACACTCCAAGTAGGTTCTTATTTATAACACACTTGAAACACTCAAAACTACCTAAAACAAACAACAGCCCTTATTTTAAAGTCCCCTCTCATTGTGTGTGCAGATTTCAATTCCAGACCTGGTCTCAGCAATATTCCAGTCAAGCAAACCWCCACACCCGAGGCCTGAGAAATAAGGAGAGTATTCAGGGAAGCACAGCCTGTCACTTGGCACTACAATATCCAGGGACAATATTCCATGCAGGAACATTCCATCTGCTGCTCCTGCCTCCTACTCCAGTGCGAGACACAGGCCACAATTTGCTGTCAAGTTTTAGGCCTCTCATAAATGGAAACAATTCCTTGGTACCACCAAAAGCCAAAATGCAAACCAAAAGCTTGTCATGGGTCAAGCACAGCAGCTCCAAGAGCGGGGACTGCAAACGGATGTGGCACAACAAAAAAATGCATGGGCACAGCCCCCGTAGCCCAAATAACGGGAATCTATTTCCCACTAAAGAGTTTCAGCCTCATGTAATTCGCAATCCTCAAAGTAAAATACAGTAGTTTTTATACACGTCTGGAATGTGACGTTTGCTAGGTTTGCCTGCTCTCCACAGGAAACACACAGCTGTAATTTGGGCACAATGGAACTAAAGCAGCCCAGGCACTCTGCTGTCAATGCCGCCACAATGCAGGGATTCATTTCTTGCAAAGTCAAGCGAGTAACCCCGTGCTGATACACCGGGAACGCAGTGCTAAGGAATATGWGGTGGAAAAAGCCTGGCTGAAGGGGCAAGAGCCAAGCTCGGGTTTCAAGGTTATTTAAGAATACGCATTTACACAGTTGAGGCCCACGTGGCTCCCGCAATCTCGCCACGACTCTGACTCACTGCAGCTCGCCGAGACATTTCCCCAGCCCGGAGGGGACAGGTTCCTCTGCAGAGGGATGGCTCCCGACCGCAGCAGGGACCCCTTTGGCATCGCTGCCAAAGCCACCTCCCCGCCGGGCCGCTCACCGGGACACGCTGCCGTGCCCCGGCCATCCCTCGCATCCCCCTTTCCTCCCCGTACCTTTCCAGCTCAGGCGCAGGTTCCACTCGTAGAAGAAGATGAGTTTCCCTTTGCGGCTGTTGCAGGACGCTTCGCCCTCCACGTGTTTGAGGTCGCCGATCTCGCAGCGCCCGGCCTCGCCCTCCACCACCAGCCCCTCCAGCACCTCCTTCAGCTTCCTCTTGGACCAGCTGGTCGCGTCCCGCTCCGTCCTGCCCCGGGAGCGGCGGGGTGAGCGCCGGCCGCCCATTCCCCCACCCCCCGGCCGGCATCCCGCTCCATTCCCGCGCCATTCCCGCCGCTCACCAGTGCCAGTTGTTCACGTTGGTGGCGTCCGCCCGCTCCTCCACGATCCAGCGCGGGTCCCCCTGGCCCCACTTGGCCATGGCGCTGCCCCGGCCCCGCCGCGGCGCCGCCTCCGCCCGCTCCCTCCCTCCCTCCCTCCSGGCCGCTTCCGCCGGCACCGCCAGAAGGTGCCAGAAACTTCCCCGCCCCGCCGGAGGAGGAGGAAGGCGAGGCCCTGCCCTGCCCTTCCTCCCMGCGGAGGGTGGAGGGAGCAGCGGCCGCAGCGCCCCGGGAGCCGCGCTCTCCCTCCGGGTSTGAGCGGCCGCGGCTCCGCGCCTGTGCCGGGAAAAGCCGCGCCCACGSGGCTGCTCCCTGCCCGGGGAAAGGCACCGCGGAACGGGAAAAGAGGAGAAATTCCCGAAAAATAGGAGAACTCTCGATTTGAAACACCACGGCAGGTGCTTATGTGCAAAAGAAGAGAATGACTGCTGTCCCAAGATTACTCCAGTCTGAAGCAATGACAAGGCAACGCCTCTGGAGTCTTTGATTTTATTGTCTTGCCGGTTTGACACGTGCCAAAAGAAATTAAATACACTGAGAGGTAGCGCTGCTGCTGGGGAAGCAGCTCTGCAGTACAGCACTGCAGCCCTTCCCGCATGTTGCTTGTTTTCTTCCTTATCCRCCCCTTACAACAGCAGCAGAATTAAAATCTGGATAGAGCACCCATATTCTTAGTGTTAATTTAATTCTGTTCCAATGAGTCTCATTGTGTTATTTCTAAAAAATTTTCTTCATCGAAGTGTTCCTATAAAACAGATCCATCATCACTAGACTCATCATCTTCAGGTTCATCTGCACCAGAGTCATCATCACCAGAGTCATCATCTTCAGGGTCATCATCACCAGAGTCATCATCTTCAGGTTCATCATCCTCAGGCTCATCTTTAGGCTCGGCATCCAAAATCACTGCCACTTCTGAAAATTTGACCCCTTTCAGTTCTCTCTCAGTGGCAGGCACTGTGGGATGAGGTGTTAAGGAAAGAGCTGACTTCTGATTTGTGTCAGCCAGAAAGGAATCCTGCAAAAAAAGCATGAAGCAGGTGAGGCAGAAAACTACAAATGGCTGAGTGTGGACAAATTTTAAGCAGTAGAAATCATAAAATTGTGTATAAATGTACATATGTGTTCTGTCTCTGGAGCTACCAAAGAAAGCATTGGTTTTAAGGTTCTAAGTTTTAGGAGTAGCACCTGAGAACCCTTTACTGTACACATTCCATAAAGACAGAAGAGAGTCATCATTTCTGGATCAAAGTCCTCSTCATTCCAGGCAGGGACAAGCAGCCACTCTTGTAATATCTTTTTATAGAATCAGAATGCTTTGGGGTGGAAGGGACCATAAAAGATTGTCCAGCTCCAGCCCCCTGCATGGGCACGGACACCTTTCACTAGACCAGGTTGCTCCAAGTCCTGTCCAGGCTGGCCTTGAACACTTCCAGRGATTACTTCACAAGATAYTTCTTTTTAGTTCCATCACAGWTTTACTTTTTTGATAATGCCTTCAGTTATTTGATGAATAACAGTAAAATACATTTCACTCCATGCTTTGCAATCAAACAGCTCATTACCTGGTTTGTTGTGAATCCTGCAGTGGGCTGGGCCTCTACATTTCTACTTTCAGCAGCTTTTTCAGATGCTCCATTTTGCTCACGTTCACTCTTGTAATCCAGCAGCACTGTCTCCAGATAATTGTCTTTTTCAGGGGTCTGAATTTCATCTTTTTCAGCATCACTTCCTCTGGTGCCTTCCAGGTTGTCAAATGATATCATCTCAGTTCTCCTAAGAGAGTTAAGAGAATTCATAGCACCTTGAGCTGAGACAGAAATCTCAGTCTCTCTAAAACCAAGAGCAGCATGTACACTGATCTCAAAATTAGTGGGATTTTTCACAGGGGAATGTTAAGTAGCTTCTTGTATCCTGCAGGTTCTTTTCTACATAACAATTAACCATTTGCTAAAGAATAAGTAAGAATTTGCCTTTGATACAAGATTAAAAGATATTAACTCTGTTCAARTCTAGAGATTTTTAATTTATCACTGTGAGGGGCCTTAAAAATGGACCTATAGCCTAGAAAAGATCCTAGGAAAATCCTATGGTACCAGAGTAAACTAGAACCACAATTTTTTATATGTTATCTTTTATAAATTTGTGATAGCAGCAGTCTACTTACCCATTATTGATGTGCTCCAGTTTCTCTAAGCTTTTCAGACTTCCATTTTTGTCAACTGCCCATGGGTTATCGATGCCCTCCATAATTTCAACTTTTTTAACCAAATCCTGTTTCTCATATTTTCTGAAAATAATACATTAAATAATAATAATAATAATAATAATAATAATAATAATAATAATAATAATAATAATAATAATAATAATAATAATAATAATAATAATAAAAAATTTTTTAAGATTGGCATTACAGTTGTTTTAGAAACAGAAAACTACTTATTTGTGTCGTAAGTTTAATACACAACATTTACTTTCAGTATTATTCTGGGAATTAATTTAGAGTATTTCCTGTTTTTCCATAATGGTAGCAGTGTAAATGTTTACTTCCCTTCTGGAAATTGTTTTCCTCTAACACGTGGCCCTGGTGTCACTGAAGTTAAGCAGCAGAACCTCCCTTGATTTCATCATTCACAGAGTCAGGGGAGACTCCTGGGTGTATTACAGCTGCTTGCAATATCCACCTTACATTTCATAGTTTCTGCTGCCCACTTTTTACTGTTTTAGAAGTGTTTATTTCTGCTTTTGCTGTGTGACAAACACAAGAAGAAACAGCTTCCAGATGTGTGTGGTGCATCCACCGTAGCCGATCTTGGGTGATGCTCAGTGCAAATACCAGTATTTTATCAGACAAATATTTTTCAAGTTGACATTTAATTTAACCAATTATCTGTAGATCTAAAGGACATTGTTAAGGTAACCCTCTGTGTACCTTTTCTTTTTCAGATCCAGCAGGACATAGGCCAGGAAGGCAAAGAAGGTGGCGGCGAGCAGGACCCCAAGCACGATGGAGGCCACGAGCTCCGGGGACGCCGGGGCACCGGGAGCCTCCTCGATGGCAGCACTGACAGATGCTGAAAATACCTTCTCCAGTTCCAGCTCGATGTCACCCTTCTTCTCCCTCAGTTTTCTGAGGAGAGAAGGGTAAAATGTGCATGAYTTACCAGACTTTCATTTTGGCTGGAGGAGTGGTGAAGAAAATACAGAATATCCCTCACTGGTCTGCCAAGACCTTTTCCAAGGTTTCAGATTCAGTGCTGTTCTCAAGCAGMCRGCCCTGGTGCTTGTGGCCTAAAATRCTGCAAGCCTTGGATAGCTGAACTGGATCCACATCACTGTCATGTTACCAAAGAAATGTAAAATTCACCTAAAGTGGGAGTTTTTAATCAACATTCTGCCACTGTGAAGTCAATGTATATTTCAGTTATATTCTTTCTGCTTCAGCTTTTTTTTTTCTTAAACTGACTATTAAATCTGTTTTGCACAATTAAACAGCCTTATGCATGTTTTTGGCAAACTCTGAAAATTAGCTTTCAGTAAATAGTGAAAAGGCTCTCTGAATTCTAAAGAATCYTATCTGCATAAGCCCTGACACCCAGAAGTCAGACTGTGCCATACAGACCTTTTTACATCTTCTGCAGGTACTTCCTGGTGTGCCTCATCAAAAGCAAGGAATTTTACTTGGGTTTCATCAGTGCTGCTCCTTGCTTCTCTTTCAAACTCCTTGGAATAAACATGAACGATGTATACATTCCATTCAATTTGATCTTCCAGGACCCTGASATCATGTGAAGAAAACATTTTTAGTTAACTGGGCCATGACAGATTCTTTTACTCTGGAAATTAAATGAAGTAGTATTTAATGCAACACATGGCAGATATTAACTGATGCTAATAAAAATACCTGGGCAGCTATTTTGATCTAAGCAATCTAAGTAAAAATGCAGGATTATTATCAGCAAAGRAATTAAGCTATTTACCCAAAATTGTTGGGGGATTGAGTGGTAGAGAAAAATAATATCTATGGATTAATAGAAACAGTAAAGGTGGGGAGGAGAGAAATGGAGTCTCATAATCTTCACTGTTTTCTTCTTTAGCACAGAGATTTTCATGCTGGATTGGACCAGTGGTCTATCATTCTGCTAGCAATCAGTACCAGCTGCTTCCAAGGAAGTTTTCCATTTAATTTTTACCAGCAAGAAACTGGTGCCATAATAGCAGCAACATCACAAACTCATTTTTCCAACCTTCAGAATGATTTCCCTCTATAAGCACAGGATTCAATCTTTCCAATGTAAATATATGCTTATGTAGAGGCAAACAAAAGATCTTCCATCTTTGTTAAAATGCCAAGAAGGCCCAATTATGTTTTTAATTGTAGTGTGGCCATCACACATCCCTGGCTAATCCCCTGTTCCTGCAGGACTGGGATTTCCTGGAGAAGCTCTGCTGCAGTGCCATGAGGGAGGTTTTCCACCTGTAGCAATGGTGGGTTTGATTTGTGGTGTCTGTACTATGTCTCCACATTTTTATCTTGCTCTTCTTGAGAACCTTTATCTAGGCTGCTCACAAACATTGAGGTGGGAAGAGACCTCTTGAAATTGCATAGTCCAGTGATCTCTTTGACATTTGTCAGCCAAAARTTTACAAGGCAAAAATGGGTGGACTCCTGTGAATTCCCTCAAATTATTGTGAGCTACATGAAGTTGAAGGCCTGGCTTTTCCTGGGCACTGGCTGTATCACTTTCCTGTAGGCWGTCAGACCCCTATCCCAAAGGGATTCTAAATTTATCAYTAAACATTGTACCAGSATAAGCTTCMTGGCTTCAAAAATACCTTTGTACTTCAGCAATGTTTCTTTCCACGACATTGATCTTCTGATTGAGCACCAGCATCACAATATTGCTGCTGGAACTGGAATCAACAGTTACCTAAAAAAGAGTCACACGTGAGATTTTCTAAAGCAGTTGTCCCTCTCTTAGATTGATGCAAAAAAAATACCAAACACTAAACAATAACAAAAACGGTCTGTTATGAAATAATTGTCCTGCAAAAGTCAGGTTTTGTGGCAACATATTTTTATATGTCAATGAAAATGGTAACCTCTTAATTCTAGTATGTAAATATTCATGTATCTGACAGCCTTATTGACAGTGGGGTTTKTTTGTTTGTTTGGATTTTTKTTGCCATTTCCAAAATGTCCTTCTTGTTTACAATTTTGACATGGAAGTAAACCAAGACTGTACATTACAATCTTCCTTACATTGACTGTTGTCTGGGCTGTGAGTCTTCTTGTGCCTTGGTCCGCAGCTTGGACTTCCAGATAGAATGTTCCAGCCTTTCCTGCTACAGAAACTGTAAAAATCTGCCCAGTGTTTTCATTGATGTCAAATTCGTTGGTTTGGTCACTCACTAAGCTGTACAGCAGATGTCCATTGTCTCCTGAGTCTGGATCCATGGCCTGGGTTTAAAAAAGGTGATTTGTGACACTTGGCTTTTGGGCTGTGTGTTGCTCTTCAATCAGTGAGCCAGGCTCTCCAGAGTGGATTTAAGAGATCCTTTAATCCAGTGAAAGAAAACCAGATCTTTCCCAGGGTTTCTGCCCTGGAGAAGAGCAGAGGAAATACCCTACCTGGACTGTAATGACAGGGTACTTGTAGGGCACAGAGCTGGGAATCCGGGCAGAGTAGGAATTGCTGGAGAACACGGGCTCTTCGTTCACATCCTGCACGGAGAGCGTCAGCATGGCCACGTTCTCAGCAAACAGGTCTGTGACACACACCAGTTAGCAGCAACAACAAATCCCAGCCCCAATTCCAAAGGCTGGGCCACGCTGGGGCTTTGCAACATCTCTGCTGCATCCAGGGAGAGCAGAAAGTTACCTGAACGCAGGACTCCTGCAGCAGATGAGACTTTTTCGTTGGCTTTGACTAGAATCACATACTGAGAAATGGCCTCATAGTCCAAATTCACTGCTGTTCTCAGCTCACCACTTTGAGGATCCAACCTAAAGTGACCTGCAAGGAAAAATACAGATTTGGCTGTTGCAGCTGCCATTTCACTTGTATCCCACTCTACCTCTCGTGTCTTAGTTGCTCTTGGGATGATTCCGTGGCTCCTCTGCTCTGAACAGTGTGAAATTCAACACTTCCACTGGCCAAGCAGCAAAGGCATCACAGCTGGGCTCCTACCCCAGGCCAAACAGCTTTCAAACGTGGAAAGGAGCGGTATATGTGAAAAATAATTTCACATTATTTCACAGATGACAAGAATTGCATCTGCTCCTTGCACAACTCCATTTTTTATGTATTTCCATGTTTTCTCTSGGGTTCTACGTGCTTCCTTTGTTGTGGGCCAAATGGAGCCTGGGCACAGCTGCAACGGCTGCAGGAGGGCAGATGCCTTAACACAAGAGCAAGGAAATAATGCTTGGCAGGGAGGAAGCTGCTTGTGAACARCACTTTCTACTTTGGCTCTCCCAGTCTCTAAATTATCCTAGTTTAAGACTAAAAGAAGTCATTTTTTAGCAGGTTACCACCCTTTCTCAAGCCAAAGATCAGCAAAGTCAGTGCTGAAAAGCTCTGAAAGAAGTTAAGTGTACTCCTTTTTAAAAAAAAAAATAAAAATTTAAGCATGCTCTCCATCTACTCATTTATGCACAGCAACACCTGCCACGCAAAAGACAGGTTATGATGTTCTCTTGGCTATTTTAACAGCACTCACCTTTTTCATTGCCCGATACAACAGTGTAATCCATAGGTTTTCCTGAAGTTTCAATCACAGCAAAAGCATATATTAAATAATCCACTCCTGTGTTTTCCGCAACAGAAACGCTAATGCAGGAAATAAATGATAAATCATGTCAAATTTGCCATCAGTTGTTGCCCACACAGGCTTTGAAATTTAACTCTTTAAGAGAGAGTTCTCTGTTTAAAATCTTGCCCTTTCCCCCTAGTTATTTGCTGGGTCTGCCCCACTTTCAGAGTGCAGTGCAAATCCTGGTTTTCCAGCCAGATTTTGGGTTATCCTTGAGAAAAGCCAAAGGAAGAATGTTTTCGAGTGTGCAAGGGGAAAGGGACAAAGGATCTGGCTTACAAAAGCTGCAAAATAAATAAAAGGCAATGCCTCAATTAACGTTCACTGAACCCCCAGCGTAGCAGAATTTCCTGTGTTTTGCTTTAAAAAACCCCAAACTGATGTCCTTTCTTCTGCATGGAAAAATATGAAAATGAAATTCAACTTTGCCATGTTTTGCACTACCTGGGTAACACATCCCAGTTCGGTAATTTAATATGAAAGCCTCACCTGATCTCACTTTTGTTAAAGYGAGGAACGAATGGACGGTTGTCAAACACATTCAGAGTAACCACAGCGGTGTCATTTAAAGGAGGAGAACCTTTGTCCTTTGCCATCACTGTTAAATGCATCTCTCCAGATCTCGACAGGTTCCCAGTTGTAATTATCTTCCCCTCACTCGCATCCTCTATCAGGAAGAATGGGCTCACRCTGGGATCTGGGAGGATGTAGTACTCAATAAGGCCATTTTGCCCCTGCCATGAAAGAAACATGATTTCATGGGACTGGGAGTATATTTTGAAGGGTAGGGTAAACACTGAAACAAGAGAGTCACAAAACATCTAATGAAATTATTTTGGAAATAGTGATTTTTTTAAAGAATGAAAACTTGGGTTTGCTATGGTAGGATGGGTGCCAATTAAAGAAAAAAAACACAAAGCAGAAGAAAATTCACCACAAATTGGTCATTTATACAGTAAAAAAGTGGCAAAAAGGTCTAATGAAAATAAGTGGATGTGTAGAGGGGGACAGAGGGGTGAGGGTGGCACATGGAGGACAAGTGCCACTCTGTGCAGCTGAAGGAGGAGTTTCATTAGTGTCTCAATGCAGATCTCACACGGTTCAGCAATTTTCAAAAGCAATTGSACTTTTTATACAAGATCATTGAAAAGGCCGATTAAAAAGGCTGTTATTTGCAGCAATGTACCACAGCTGCAGCTATTCTAACCAAAATTATGCACGAAGAAATAGGAAGGCACCTGCTACACCTATTTTGTTGTCACTTTGAGATGTTTCATCTTGTAAATGATATAATTACCAGTGATGTTGTCATGGTGACCTGGTTGTCTACTGGATATCCCTGCCAGTGCTTGGATACTGTTTGATGGGTGTAGTAAAGRTACATCAAACAAAATTACATTTAAAAATGGGGACAGAGCTGGGGTGCCACACTTCAGAGSAGTTTGACAAGCAGACATTTTCTTGTTCAAACTACTTTATGATGCTTAGTTTTTACAAATTCTTCTACCTCAAAAGTTCAAATAACTTCAGAGAAACTAAATTGCTTCAGCCCTTGTATACTTCTGGTATACACAGGTGCAGCTCTGTGTAGTAAAGGCAAAAATTAAAGCAAACACAGCTGAGGAAACACGTCCTGAGCCAGGGAGTACGTCAGTGTCAATGCAGAGCCATCAAAACTCCTCATTTCCAATTCCCAGAGCTGATAGTTAACCAGGATTCACTTTCTGCYACATTTGGTGCTTCTGGAGCAGGAKGTCTGTGTGCTGCAGCCCAGAGCAGTGCTGGGGTCCAGCAGGAGGAGTTACCTGATCGCTGTCGGTGGCGCTCACGGTGATGACAGGAGCMCCCACAGGGTTCACCATGTTTATGGAAGCGGAATAGGAGCTCTGGGCAAACACTGGGGCATTATCATTCACATCAATCACTGCAACACTGACATGGGTAGTTGCCTAGAAAAAAAAGTGCATTTTAGAGTATTTRGAATGTCTTGTTTAACATGTTTTTTTCTTCCTTGCACATGCAGCAGAAAGTATAAATCCAGTTTTGAAAATGCTGCAGTAAAATGTTGYTTGGGTTAAATCTTGTGAACTCAAYATCAGAGATCACTGYGGGATTTTAATGGGAGAGGCATTAATTCAATGTTGCAGTAGGATTCTACTTTTGTCTGAATGAGTAAGAACAGKTTATGTTTAGGAGACCAACGTGTACTACATGCAGTTAAGGAAACCACACATGTTCTAGTTCTGTTGAGTAAGTGTTTAGTATCTTTTCAAATAAAAGAAATACAGCAGAACTAGAACCATCTGCTGAAAATACGTCTTCCATGAAAAATTATCCCATCACTTACACTTCTAACAACAGCAGGCAAAGACTCCAGTTYCCCAGCACAGGTCAGTCAGCAAATGCTTCAGGGTCAAAGCCTATCATGCATAACTTTGAAGCTTTTCACATAATTAAAGTATACTGCTACTCAGCGTGGTTAAAGGCTGTAGAAATCYGAGTCTAAACGTGGTGAGGTGACTCATTTATTCCACACAGTAAATGGCTGGGACAGATCTTCCTCCCAATAGTTCAAAATTCACTCTGAAGAGTGGCTGTTCATTACAGTAATGGTCTCTTACCTGGTAGAAAGGGGCAGATTTATTGTTGACTGCAGTCACTGTCAGGCTGTATTTATCTATGGTTTCATAGTCTGGAGARTTCTTTATCTTAATGATGCCCTGTATTTCATCTATCTCAAATGTATTTTCCCCATCACCTGAGAGATTTAAACAGGCATCATGCATTAATACATCTTAAAAGCCCTTTATTAACTACACTCTTAAATAATGTTTSCTTGTGTCCCAAGCTCACCAAAACCATTTTTTAAGTAGTGTATGGATAACGTAGAAGAGGAGCAGAAATATTTTGAGTGGATGGGCATTTGAAACCTGAGCTAAGAGAATGGGTGAATGGGTTTTGCAGACACATCTGTCACCCTGGTGATGGACAGCACACTGGAGTTCAGGGGTCAGTCTATTGAACAAGATCCTCCAAGCCTGTGCAAGTTTTTGAGGCACTTTTGCAGTGTTCTGACCTTCTCTAGGTTCACYCTCATGTTTGCTGCTTGCAGTGGTTCGAAGGCATAACTGGGTTCCTGCCAAAACCTCTCACAGGAGTTGTCTCTGAATTTAYTGTCTCTAATGGAGGTGGGCTGAGTGACCCAGAGATGTAAAGAGAAATCAGTTTGGCTGCCAGAAGATGTGGCAGTGACTTCTGTTGATTTTAACCAGCCTCAAAGCCTGTGTGCCTATTGGAAATAACAGACTAAAACCATGTAAAACTCTATTCACATGGCTCATGATGGTCCTTACAATTAAACCAGTCATTTCAGCTCCTGCAGGAATCTAAATTTCCTTAAATTTCCTTAAATCTGTTGTCTTCTTCAGTGCAGGGATGAATCAGACCCTGGACCCTTATTCCTCACTCAAGGAAACTTTTTTTAATCCAAATTACTCCTGTTGATTGCAGCTACAGCAGTCAAGTGCCTAAAGATTTTTTACATAGATGATTTTAACAGGATTAAGAATACAATTAAAAGCACAATTTTTAGTATCTGCAAAGTTCCTATTCAGGCAGTTTGAAAATTGAATGAGCATAAACTAATAACATTCCAAACCAGGTGCAAGTGAGCCTTTTCTTGGCATTTGTGGAAAGAGGTTAGGAAATAAAATGGATAATACTGTTTATGCTCCTAATTGTATAGAAAACAAAGTGATAATGGCAGAATTCSTTGTTACCTGTGAGGCTGTACAGAACAAAGGCATTGTCTCCTGTGTCCCTGTCTGATGCTGTGATTTTTCCAACAATGAATCCCACAGGTGCGTTTTCACTGACACTGAATTCAGCCACCGGATCAAAGACAGGAGGCCAGTCATTSACATCCGTGATCTTTATGACAACTGTGCAGTAACCCCTCTTCTTCTCAGGGATTCCATCATCTTCAGCATAAACCACAACCTGTAGGTTACACAGTTATTGGCGAGGAGAAATCATACAAAGAGGTTTTTGCATAAGGATTAAAAAAAAATCCTGGTCAATTTTAAACTTTGGAATATTCCTAGAAATGTAAAGTCCGGTTCTGAATTYACCTCAAAATGATTATTGAAAACTTAAGGAGTATTTGAGTCAAYTTAAAATGTCTTTGTAGAACCAACAATTTCACCAACATTTTTGCTTGAATCAAAACAAGATCATAAAAAACATCCAGCAGTGGCAACAACAAAAAGAGGATGAACTGAGAACCATATCTGCAATATCTCAGTCCAGCCCAGATTCAAGCAWACAGACAACACTGAATACCATGAGCTGTCATTGTGAAATTAGTTATTCATGTGCTGAAGTGTTTGCAGGGTGGGTGAACAATGAGCTGAGCTTGAATTTCATTRTAGTCCAAAGGCAGTGGCTTGTTTTAATAATGCCTCTCAGGTTGAGATGCTCAAGCTCTAAACCAACACAGAAATTGTTCACACATTATCAAACTAAACTAAAGCACAAGTGTCACCTGTTATCCAAGAGAAGGACAAAGAGCTCTGAATAAAGAAGATTTAAGAAATCTAAAGCAAACCTGATACTCTGTAGGTTCCTCTTCATAATCAAAGGGGGCAGTGGAATAAAGGATTCCAGTTGTTTCATTTATCCTGAATTTTAGTCCRTGTCCRTTGAGAATGCCATATGTTAGGAAACCATTTCTACCTGTGTCATTATCCTGAGCTTGCAGCTGGACAATCTGAGTAGGAGGTGAATTCTGTGTAGGAAGAAGGATTGAGGTTCTCAGAGATTGCTTTGCTGCAATTTCTTGAATTATGTCAGAGGGGAAAGTAACAGATACAGCAGTATAGACATTGCAAAACCAAAATTATATAACTTGTTAAGCACAGAGAGTTATTTGTTTTCTCTATTTTGCAGAAAATAACTATTTTCCTTCCCCCATGTCTTTACCCATAGCTGCAATTYTCAGAAGAAAAATTATGATTGCAAWAAAAAYRTTAACCTCAAGCATCTGACTTGYTSTTATTTCTGTTTWACAGCCTAWGAAACTCAATKAATGTTCTCACATYCAAAATCATCTTTCTTTCTSAACACTATTTGGCTAATAATTAGTCTTATCAAAATAAATAATGTAATTCTTCCTTTTTAAGATGTTACTTGCATCAAGATTGACAGAAGATATCAATGTTTCACTTGCACGGCCATTTGAGACCTTATCTGAAGTTATTTGATCCAACAGGGCATCCAGCAATTCCCACTGTGTAAATATTTCACACAGAAATCAATTTTTTAAGGTTGGGAAATGTGATTCTAGCTCTTCTCGATAAACCAACTGGGAACATTAAAATTAGGTGTAATAAGTGAACTTATATTTAGCTCASTGGTAGAAATGGACTCAGTTTGAAATCAGTTGTGGCTGCTAAAGAGAATATGTGTGGGTCAGGTGGAGATCTCAAAGGCAAGGTATGTGCTATATAAAATACTAACACAATCAATGTGCTTCTTTTTTAGAAAAAAAAAAAGCAGCCAGCAGAATAAGTGTGGAAAGTGTTGTTTGAAAATTGAAGAGTTGCCTATTTACAGAAGGTTCACTTATATACTCAACAAAAGATTATTTTTCATYATTTATTATATTATTATTATTCTTTTGAATATTTATTTTTGGGATTTGGTTGGGATGATGTTRTCTTACCTCTGCCAATTTCTCTTCTAGTAGAGAGGATGGGAAAACTGGAGGRAAATCATTTTCATCAATAACTTCCACCTTCACGTCAACTTCATTAAATATGGCAGCATTGGATGAATCTGTTGCYCGTACCTTGAAATTTACTGGAAAATCTTCCAGTTCTAGATTCCTACTTGTTCTTATGACACCACTGGAGGAATGGATAATGAAATATCCTGTTAAAAAAAAATGAACCAAAAATTATTCTAGTTATGATTTTATTAGTTGAAACTGAAGATATGAATCCTCCAGTGAAAACTGTACATTATTTATATAAATATTGCATGTTAACAGTATTCATCAAATAACAAAATGAAATTCAATGTTTTTACGAGGTTGAGAAGAATGTCAGATATATTCAGAGCTGTAAGTAACAAAAAGAAATGATTCAGAAGGTCAGATGGGAACCAAAGGGGAGAAAATTCAATCCARTACTCTCCAGTCAGGTCTTCACCTTCCTCTGAGACAGTCAGAGATTATTTGCCCCTGTTTCAGTTAGAAATTTTTWTATTTCCTAGGAGCTCCTTTTCTTAATGAAGATGAGGAATTTTGCAACTAACTTCAAGATCACAACTTCATACAAAAGAGTTTACAAAACAGAAACAGAAATTGGCTGTTTGATTATTCAATAAAATTATCTCTGTATTTAGCAAAAAAAGACCAAGCACTGATGCATCTGACCATGTGTAAACTTACTCTAGGCACTCACACTTGTTAAGAAAATGTTGCTGAGTTAGTTTTTCTACTAGTTTTGGTTCTGTTAGTTATGTTTTCTCCCTCCAGTGTAACTTTATGCCTGAGCAGGTAGCGACTGCCCTTCCTGCAGCAGACACAGCACACAGTGGGTGAAGCCAGCCTGGTATCGTGTGGCTCAAGCTGTTCTGACAGAAATTCAATCRGGTGCCCACAGCTGATCCAGATCAAACCTGGGGTCATTCACATCCAGTATTAATGGCCGTGGAACTGAAATAAGGGCAAAAGGAAGGAGAGAAGGAACAATCCCCACGCTCGGTGCTGTGCTCGCTGTTTCACCCCCCTCTTCTGTCATTCCACATCAAGAGCTCACCCTTCTCATCTCCAGAGACAATGCTGTAGTTCACAGGGAGATTGTACAAGACACTGATGGACACAACAAACGTGTCTGGGGGTGTCTTCTCTGACAAGGGGGCAGGGTGATAGGCTGCTTCCGAGAACACAGGGTAGGAGACATCCACGGGAACTACGGTGACTGACACCTGCGGAGAAAAGGACACGGCTCAGGGTTATGCTTTCAGCTTTAGCAGAAACTTTCTTATTGAGATGTGAGACAGCACAAGGCCAGGCCTTGGCCAGTGARGAAAAGCCTGGGACTGTTGTGTGCCCAGTTTGACACGGCCCTGAAGGCAGCAAATATTTGTGGAAAACACCAGCAGCCTCCTCAGTTTAGCTTTGCTAAATACAGAGAGGGATTCCAGTTCCTCACATTCAGSACCTTTCACTAAGGACTTCCTTAAGTGAGCAGCTCTCAGAAGGATTCACTGATGTCCAGTGAATAACCAGAGCAGGAACTTGTAAGTACCGTATTTTAGAACTATGATAACTGATTCATAGAATTAAAAAAAAAAACCCCAAAAAAGCAGGTGGCAAACAAATAATGGCTACTTCTTCACCAAAATAAAAATAAATTATTKCTAATTATTGCCAGAGAGCTGCTGTCCAGTTTTCTTAAGAATGATGGCTTGGAAGTCTACATTTTGAGGCTGTTGAAGATAATTTTCTAAATGTCTTTATCCATACAGATTTCTAGKTCTTTTTTTAATTCTGATATTTAGTGGCAAAAGATCACCAGCAAGGTATAAGCACTGTGTAAAAACATTTTTTATCATATTTAACTTTCTCATTCTTCAATTTAGAAATTATTTTTTTCTTACATTACAGGAAAATAAACAGGAACACTTATTTGCCATCTCCTGTTTATTTATCACATACTTCCATGACATCCTTTCTGACTGCCTCATTCTTTGACCTTGCTCAGAAGTCCCCACTGCTCTAATCCTCCTCCCTCACAGCCTGGAGCTTTTGTCTATCTTCTCTGAAATGGAGTGATCACAACAATTTTGGGTGATGTGCCAGCAATTGCTAGGGCAGTGTAASTTGGTAACTGTTATCTTGTAGCCTGAAACAGCAGTGACAGTGASTGTCTGACATTCTCATTCTTGGTTTGCATCGTTTTGCCTCACTGATACCCATTTCCTGGGGTAGTTATGCTCAGTTTAGAATAAAACAATTTGAGGAATAAACTGTGCAAGTAGACATTGAGGTAGAAATTTTAGTACCTTTACAGATGTTGACAGAGGTGGCAGACCCGAATCTGTGGCGGTGACATTCAAGGAGTAATACAGGGGAGCAGTTTGTTTGGATAAATCCCTTGTTAACCTGAGCTCTCCTGTGGTACTGGAAAGATTGAAGAGGCCTTCTGAGTTTCCACCTGRAAACAAAAGAATTRTTGGAGAYGTTCCCTGGAAKCAGRGACAAGTGACTGAASCCAGGTTGAAATCCTGACCTGTACRTGTGACCTGGAGCACAGACAYCCCCTCCRGCCCCCCTTGGCTCTAAACATGGCCAGGAGTGAATTCAGCACGGGTCTCTCAAGACTTTGATCCATCAGGTGAGGATCTCCAAGGACACCATCTSTGGGAAACCTGCTCCAGTAATTATTGGTCCTCACAGAGGATGTTTTACCCCTTCTGTCCACTCAGAACCTGCCAGCTCAATTTATGACCATTCTCTCTTATTCTGGTGTCATGCAGCTTGGTTTACCAGTATCAAGCATCCCACTAATAAACAGCCATGAGATTTTTTTCTAACATACCTGAAATACTGTAGAAAATRCCTTCATCGTAACCCTTGCCTTCATCACTTGCATTGATATCTACTACCAGTGTGCCAGCTGTAGAATTGTCTAGAAGGATCTTGTAATACGAGGGCTGGTCAAACATGGGTCCTTCTTCATTGACATCTTCCACAGTAACTGAGAAAGAATCATCACATTTGGTGAGCTTTACCTAAATGATTACAAGTTTGGTTTATTTTTTCAGCTAATGTAAACTAACACAGCTCCTCTGAATGAGAGTATATGAGGGCTGCCCAAACGCTAGGATACCAACTTCACAGAAATCTGTATGGCTTTTTTTTTCCAACTGAACAAATTTGTATAATTATTTTAGAGAAAAARAAACAACACCAATCAAGCACTGTTATTTTAACAACACTAAAAATCACTGTCAACACTATTTATCACCCCAGAAACTGCCCTTCTGTATACTAGCAAAAAAAACCCTGAATTATGTTTTTGGAAACCTTTTCAATCAAAATGTCAATGGGCTCTCTGAAAGTAGAAAAAAATTGTGAATATATTGAAAGAAGTAATGTCAGTTTGTGTGAAAAGTCTTCGTTTTTGACATGGCAAACATTTTTGAAAAAAATTTTGTCTCGCTGTAGTGGAAAGATCACATCATCATTTCTGATAATTTACTCTAGCAGACTGCATTAATGCTGGTTCAGAATTACACTGGCTGAAATATTCCCTAGGGGAAACTAAGATTTTTTTTCTGTGGTAAAAAAAAAGCTTCTTTTCAGAGCTACCTGTAATGTTTGCTGTGTCCTGGAGAAGTGGCTCTCCAGGGTTGAAAGCTTTCAGAATAAACATATACTGGGAATGACTTTCATAGTCCAGAGGTTGAAGGGTTGCAATATCTCCAGAAAGTTCTCCAATGTGAAATGAAGCTGTCTCTCCAGTTATGGTGTAATGAATGATGGCATTGTACCCTACATCTTCGTCTGTGGCTACTGCACTCAAAATCTAAAAAAATAAGGGGAAAAAAGTCAGAAAAAAATGTTTAGAGTGGAATAAAGAGAGTGGCAAAACATGCACACAAGGCTGGTATTGACCCATAGTGTTTACTGAGTGAATTACTCATTAATTGATTAAATGCAGTGCCGGAATTCTGGCACAGCTTGTGGCAGGGCAGTTACAGATTGTCAGGGGACACCTCTTCCCTTGATTCCTGCAAAGCATTAGATCATATCAGCAAGGCAGATMTGGAGCCAGAAATGGATACACTGGGAGGCTGCCCACGGAAGATGTGATGCCYCWTTCCTGGAAATGTCCAAGGCCAGGTTGGATGGAGCCCTGAGCAAGCTGTTCTAGTGGGAGGTGTCCCCCAAGGCAAAGTGATCGGAACAAAGTGATCTTTAAGGTCCCTTCCAACCCAAACCATGATTCTTAGACACAAAAGCTTAAGAACAGAAATTCTGCACAACATCTACAGAATTAAACATCCTTAAAAGATGTTGCCCATAGATCCTGTGAAAACTCCATCTGTGCAGTGTGGCATCACTGCTGAGGACAGGGGGGAAAGGGGGAGCAGCTCCCACTCTTTTGTGAGAGTTTTAGAAAGAATCAGTGGGACAGGTACTCCACTGTCATACAAACCAAACATGCTGTGTGATTTCACAGATCCCAAAAAGTAACAAATCATGTTCAATGAGAGATTACTGCCCTTCCCACGTTCACACAGAGAAAACAAATGCAGAGCAGCCTGTTGATTGTTAGTGCTACACACCACACGTGGAGGCTCATTCTCCTTCACAGTTACAGAGTAGGATTTCTGGGRGAACACTGGTGGGTTGTCATTCACATCTTCCACAGTGATGCTCACATCTAAGCTTGCAGATTGTGGAGGTTTGCCAGAATCCGTGGCCTGGGAAGGAACAACTTGTCACTGAAAACAGCACTACTTGGACACAAGCTTATTTTGTCAGTTCAGTTTTGCTACAAAAATCATCAGCTTTTGCCTCGGAAGTCTTTCTGCTGGACCAGTTATCCCTCAGTGACACTTCTCTAGCCCTGTGCTTGATTAGTTGCCACATCTTCCTGCAGCTGGTGTTATCCCATCACATGCTCTGCCTCATTTCATTAACAATTAATCAAAAGCTCAAGCCTGGATGCAGATCAAACGTGTCATATGATCAGATGTGGCACTAATCAACACAAAACTGTGATGTACAGTTGTTTGTGCTGTGGCACTTAAAAGAATAAGGAAATCCCTTGCATTTTGAAGGTTTAAAGTGCCAACAAAGCAAATTGTGAAGAGCATCCAGTATGTGCAAATTCACAGTCAGTTTTACACTGCACAAATATCTGCCATAGAAAATTCTAATCTGTAGGTAAATATAGACAATTTTCAATCAGTCTTAAAAGGTGTCCATGTCAATTAACTTGAAATTTTTCATAAGATACTGCCCAATTTTTTCTGTCTCCTCTGTACCTTCCACAAGTTCTCTGACCTGTTAAAATATTTGCTAGCAGTAAAAATACCCTTCAGATATAATTGTACTCAATGGCCAGTGCTGGAACACTTCTTTTTATGCACAATAGTTGATCTGATTAGTAGCAGTAAAAATCAATTAAATCARCTAGAATAAATGGATACCCTCATCAATGCTGAATGAAAGTTTATACTTTTGGGTTTTTACTTGAAAAAACTCATTTCAGGTATTTTTTAAAAGGTCTAAAAACATMTATTTTGGAAAATGAATTAAATAAGGAAAAGGGACACATAACTTGGATTGGGCTCAGGAATGCTTTTCAGATGTCACAGTCAGCTGTTGTATGACTGTGACCTTTTAAATTTGGGATTTGTGGCTCATTTATTCACTAATATAAATTTAAAGACCAGAAAACAGAGTTCTGCATACAAAACATAAGGAACTGTCAAAATTCATCCATGAATTCTAATGGAATTCTCTAAGATTATGTGATTTTCTTGTGATGGTTCAGTATTTTTTTTTTATTTTGAGAATTCTRTGAACTTGTATCAAATTCGCCAACTTACCATTATTTTCAATTCATAACTGTCCATCACTTCTCTATCTAAGGCTTTTTTTATTATCAACTTGCCAGTAGAACTGTTAATATGGAATGATCCAGCAAAATCATCTTGCAGATRGTATCTTATACTCGCATTATCTCCTCTATCGAGATCAGTGGCAGAAAATGTGCCCAAGTCCAGACCAGCTGCATTCTCAGGAGCTGATAAATCAGTTTGGATCGATGCTGAGAAAACTGGAGGGTTGTCATTGATGTCTTCAACTCTCACAGTTACCTATATTGAAAAACAAAAAACAAAAGAGACAAAAGAAAAAGAGAGAATAAAATCTAAGCTATAGAAGCTGTATCCRAAGGAGAATTTCGATTAATTTTAGTCTATGGAAGCCTATGGAAAAACAAAAAAACCCATTTTTTTACATTTTCAAGTAAAAAAATGCCCCAAACCAGATATATAATAATTTCAGCATTTTTCAGCATTTGAGCATTCTCACAACCTCTACATTTTTTGTTTTTAAATTCTCAGTTGGAAGATAACATATATGTGAAATAACTGGAAGAGGTGAACAGAATTCATAACCTGGGGCTTTTTGGCTCATCTACATCATGCATTTGACAAAGCTGTGCACAGAACCAGTTTTGGTGTTAATCAGTTTCTCTGGTTATGGGCTGTTCACAAGGAGCTCTCAGGGAGKGACACAATCTGTGAAGCTGACAGTATCTCCAGATGGTAATATCTCCTCAGGATATAAAAAAAGGGAAATTAWATAGAAGGCTCTCAAAGCTTCACATTTGAATAGCAGGAGACACGCATCTGAATTCTTGTCAATTGTTATTATTTTTTYAAGATATTTCATATTCCTTGATAAAAAATATTTTGAAATGCATATAAGCATACCAGAGCCACAGCTGTGTTGGGTGGCACCAGAGAATCCACAGCTTCCACCAGGATGCTGTACAGGTCTCTCTCTTCCCAATCCAGTGGGGCAAGAGCCACGATGTCTCCTTCGTCCCCAATGAAGAATTTGTCCCAGTGGGTTTTTAGGGAGTACCCAACCCGCACAGCGATGCTTCCAGTCAGAGCCTTCACAGAGCCCACTGCAGACCCTGAGGGTTTGTTTTCCTCAATGCTGTACTCATAGCTGGACCTCTCAAAAGTCAGTCCAAAGCTGGTGTCATTTACCAGCAAGTAGAGAGTGACAGAGACTGAAGAGAGAAAACAAATTCAAATAGTGAAGGCACTGCTAAAATCATCATGATCCGTGCTCTGTGCCCTTAAGCTCTTCAGGAAGTAGTAGAAAATTATAGAAATTATCATGGAGGAAAGAGAAATGATAAGAAAAAAGAAGTCAATAGTAATAAGGATTACCATGTAACACAAAACATGATGTCTTTTTTACCTAATTGATTTTCCAAAATAATTTCACTTCCCTGATTACAGAAATACTGCTTCAGTATGACAGGGGAGCAAGGATCACCAGTCTGAAGCTAATGGGATGTGCAYATGTTTCACACTCCTTTAAAATCTGACCCTTAATTGCTTTGTAACAAGAGAGGAGAGATATGGCTTAAACCAGGAGTGCAATTTCTGTCATGACCACCCATCCTATTTGAAAAGAATCAGTTGTTTCTCCTGTCCATGATAAATCAAAGTTAACGTCCAAAACACACATGAAAAAAAATGCAAAAAATACTACTTGATTGAATATTTTTTGAAAGAACTCAGGTGAGGGTGATTTTCCAGCTTCTGTTTGTTTAAATGTTTCTAATTTTAAGAAGATAAAGGAAAACTGAAAGAGAAACATATCATCAATATTATCTGAATATATAATTTTAGAGGGACTACAACTATGAAGTCCTGAGTTTTGTACCATAAGTACAACTGCAATAAATGAATTTTTAAAAATACTATTTTCTAACCAGGGTTACCAAAGTCAAGTTTTCTGTTAATATGATTGGCTTGGAGGAGATCAAAATGTAAAAAGCAAATATTCATCATTGCTGAAATGTGACAAGTTTTGTTTTCCTTAAATTCAGTTTGAGTTGACAGAAATTAATATCAAATTTAAACGTTTGCAAGGGCTATGTTTATGTGGGTAAAGAAAAGAAAAAAGGGTAAAAGTGGTTTACCATTTGATGTAAGCTGAGGAATTCCATGATCAGTAGCAACAACTGTCARTGTAACAACTGTGTCAGCTGTGATGTGGTCCAGGTTACTGCTGAGAGTGATTTCTCCTGTGCCATTATTTATATGGAAATCATCAGAAGGGTTCATGAAGCTGATTAAAGAGCAATCAGGAGAGTATTCATATTAATGACCTTGGAAGTGCCATCTACTTACTGCTGTTAGGAACACTCAACAAACAACATTTGCCTATTTATAAAGAACAGCTTTTAATTGCTGTCTTAAACTTAARTATAYTGGCCTTYTATTTCCAAGTAAGATTTCCATCATGAAAATGTACAGCATTTATGCTTTCAGTTCCTGTTAAACCCCAAGGCTTTTATGTTCCCACTAGGAGAAGGCAAATACTGCACACTCAGCTGCATATTCAGGAGTAGAAGAAACCCAAGTGACATTCATCTACTAATTCCTGGTGTTCTATGARCTCTCACAGATTAACTGGATTTCTCACAAGTAATGTGTTTTAGGTAGAATGCCAAGAGTTAAAAGTAACCTCTTTCAAGGCAGTAGTTTGAAACATCCACAAGTTTACTGCTCATTCATCTGTCCTCAATCTATGCTTTTCATGTCAAGGTGTCTTGGTATTTTCCATGATATGGAGCTTATAGAAATATCTTTCTCCATTGATTTTTCKATACATAGTGCATTAAGGAGGTTAATTTCTTATCTCCTCCTCCCAGCAAACAGAAGATACATAAAAAGAGTCAGAGATTAATTTACTTCCTACCCAGAAACTTCAGTGTATTATTCAAAATTTCAGAAATTCAAACAAATCTTGTCTGTGGGTTTTTACTGACGGTTTATCATGTGGTTGTGCCCTCTCTTATGACATAATCATGATTTGATAAGCKCTAAAACACACAGTCATGACGATCCTTCTTCCTAAGTTTAGAAATCATAACTGATTATAGTACGTGTAAAAAGATTTATGAAAAGACCTTATCCCTCTTATGATCAATAAAAATACCTTTCTRTTACTCTCACAGCAGATACTTATTAACCACCCAGAAATGTACCTGTAGGAAATGACMGCATTGTTCCCAAGGTCAAGGTCTGTGGCAGACACTGCCAGGACAAACTCTCCCTCTTTTGCTGTTGCCACACGGACGCTGGCTGAGTACTGTGCCCTTGTGAACTGAGGAGGGTTGTCATTCACATCCAACACCTGAATGCTGACGTGTGTGAAATTCTGGGGTGTGACAGGAGAAAACAGTGATTCAGAAAATGCACAGACATGTAACTGTGCAAATAGAAGGGAGTTCAAATGAAGCATAAGCCCTTACCTGCCTTTGAGGCACTCCATTATCAGATGCCACCAGGAGCAGCTCATAYTTCTCTTTCCTTTCTCGGTCCACARAGCCAGTAACCAGAATGGTTCCATCCTAGGGAAGGCAGTGGTTCAGTGYATGGATCATTTGGAGAACTCTTGTACACAGAACTCTCAAAAGAGTCAAGGGATTGAAATAATCTGTTCTCCTTTGGACTAGTTCACATTCCAAGCAACACCTGACCAGGAATGTCTTAGTTTTTGAATATCAACATGTATTTCCAACCTACAGGGCAGGGCACATGCTGGTTTTGGTGTGTATTAGAATGGYACTGCCTGTTCTTTTTACCTGATATATTGTATACTCTATGCCAARTAACTTCATGAACAGCAGTATCTAAATACTGTTCCCACCACACCCAAACCCTTACCTGCTGGATGCTGTATGGATTGTCCCCATCCTCAGCTGACAAGTAATAAGTAATTCGTGCGTTCTCTCCCTCATCCAAATCAGAGGCAGTCACATGTCCAACTCCAGCAGGATTATCCACCATGTATTCCCCTTCCAGAACCTCAAAAGTGTATGGCTGCATCTGAAACTCTGGGTTGTTATCATTGACATCCAGAACAGTGATGTGGAACAAGGCACTTGAATTAAGCCCATCTTYTACACTGTCAACTGCCCATACCTGATAAAGAAAGGGGAAAAAAARGAATTTTAGTTGACTGCATTGTTATTTTAACCTCTGATAAAGAGAYGAAAAGGCTTTCAAGTTCAAGGGAATGAAGTAGAGATGAGCCAGAGCTGCAGATTCTCTCTCCAAATTTACTTGTAAAGTGAATCCAGATGTAGTCTCCCTGTCCAGTTCTGTGTCATTCCTTAATGAAAGTGTTCCAGGGATATCCACAGTAAATGAAGTGCTGTTGTGAATAAAGTATCCCTGGGAAAAGCCAGCCTAAAAAGAAAACATAATTCATTTAAGTTTAAAATTATTAACATTTAAGTTCAAAAAAYAATCTTATTAATACTACTGCCTGACATTTTTATAAGACTTCTCATTACAGAAGTACAAGTGATCTGCCAGGTTTAATAAATTAAACCCTGCACCCTGAGCTATTGGAAAAGTAGACTTTTTTTGGCAAACAGGAATTGGGATATGTGGAAGCATTTATGGGCTTCCCTATTTGTGTCCTACACATTCTGTCTCCCTAAAGCTCTCCAAGACTTATCCCCAAGATGCAAAGGGCAACAAAACAAAGTTAGTGGAGCCTGAACTGAGCATTTATGCCACTTTAAAACTGACACAAGCAAGAATATTGCAGCAGATCAGGAATCTCTTCCTCCAAAGCCTGTCCCTAGAGCCACAGCTACATGCAAAATGTGTTTATAAAAAAGGGAGAAAGAAACAACTTGTAAAGCAGAGGGAATTTTTTWAATTTCCTATTAGAGAAGAAACAACTCAATCAGGGTTACAAATTGCCTCTCTCTCTAACTAAGCTAATATTAAGGATAAGTTTACCAAGTTTGGTTTACCAAGCAACACTCAATCAGAAAATACTATTTTGACATGAGAAGCAATAAGACAAAAAGTAAAAAAAAAAATATTCTCTGCCTGCTGTGATGTGCAGATAAGCAAACAACACTTCCTGTCCTGGATCACAGATGCAGGGGGAGGGAAGCTCTCCCCATCTTCTCTGATACAACCAGTAAACTATTTTGTACAAGATCTTATCTTCCTTGGTTAGGGAATTTTTACTGCTGGCTCCAGAGAAAGCAAGACAAAGTTTTCATGAGCCAAAACATATTTAGTGCCAACCATTTAAGAGATCTCTTTTTGCCCATCCACTACTATGCTTTTTTGCTGATTAATAGAGAAAAGCATGTCATTTTGATTTATCAGGATGAGATTAATGTGGTACCTACCTTGTCCTTGTCAGCAACACTGAATGTGTAGACAGGACTTCCCTTCTGATGGTTTTCAAACACAAACACATCATAAGCTTCCTGACTGAATTCTGGTGGGTTATCATTGACATCTTCTATTTGAACAACTACAAGAGTTCCAYTGCTGAGACTCGGCTGACCTCCATCTGACGCCTCCACTTCCAATTCAAATTCATCTGTGGTTTCATAATCCAGCTGCTGGCTCAGGCTGAGCTGGCCTGTGCTTGAGTCGACAAGGAACATGGGAGAGGAGGTTTGAGGTCGCTGCTCAACAATTCGGTACGTGATGAGGGCATTGGCCCCAGCATCCCCATCAGCAGCAGACAGTGTCAGCAGTGCACTTCCCAGCTCTTGGTCTTCAGGGACCTTCACTTCATACCTGCTGGCTGAGAAAAGCGGGGGGTTGTCGTTCACATCCTCGATGATGATGGTCAGATGGAGAGCTGTCGACAGCACGGGTTGGCCTTGGTCACTGGCAAACACTGTTAGGTTATAGAAACCTTGTTCCTCTCTGTCCAGCATCTTTTCCAGGAAAATGAATCCTGAGCTGTCAATGTCCATTTTTCCTTCTCCACCCTTCAGACTGTAAACCACAAACCCATTAAAGCCCTCATCCACATCAGTGGCTGACACRCTGGTGACAATCGCTCCCACTGTCTCATTCTCCGAAATGGCGATGGTGGTGTTGGTTGTGCCAAACACGGGGCTGTTGTCATTGACATCTGTAACTCTGATGAACACCACGGCATAGTCAGTAATGTTTCCATCTGACAAGGAAATGTTGAGAGTGTAAGTTTTCTGGGATTCGTAGTCCAGAGGAGCTGTTGTTGAGATAACTCCACTGTTGTTGATGGCAAATGGAGCAGATTCCGTCATATCAATGGATATGTTAGGGTTTAAAGCCTCATACTCTACCTGTGTAAGATACAGCATATTAGCAATAAATTATTTAAAACAAATGAACCACTCTCTGAAAAAAACAATAACCATTTTAACTACGTCCAAATTAATTTTATGGTTGATGTTGTGGCTTGGTATCAACTTATGGTTGATTCTGTGTCTTGATTTTTACTTCTAATGAATTTTCATTCAGMTACTTGTTAACTTCACAGATTATTTAAAAGAAGTTTAAAAATCAAGCCTCAATATGCAAARAGAAATGCAGAGGACTGCCTTTTATTGAAATGTGAATAATTAAAACACATAATAAAATAAAAGACTGCACTTTAAGCTTTGGTTCTGCCTTTATATGAAAAAGGGGGCAAATAAACTTGAGATGTCTGTAAACTAAAACACTAAACACATGAGCTTCTCACTGCTTTGATATGAGATCTCCCATGTATGTTCAGAAAAGAAGGAGCTATCATGGTGCATTCTGGTGCTCTCCTTGTCTGAGCATTTTTTTGATCAAGTGCTAGAACCTTCTTTCAAAATGCCTTAATGATATTTCTGTGATGAGGATTCTCATATCATGTCACAGGGTTTTAGATTTATCATAAGAGATGAGGGAATATTGCCTATGCCAAGCTTTGAGCCACTAAACCCTCTCTGGAGGGTGTYCAAAGTCAACAGAGGGCTATGCACAAAAATTTACTTTCTCAAGCAGTTCTGGGGTTCTGGTTTGATTTGGAGAGTTGCTTTGGGGATTTTTTTCATTTTTTTTTTAAATGTTAAATGGTTGCAGATGCTACAATTAAATTTTTGCAAAGGTTTAACTGGAAGCAAACCCACTTTTGTGGGTGGTAAGCTTCATCTGAAGGATGTACTCTGCTGTACGTGAAGCTTGGTACGTATCTATAACATCATGTAGTTGTCCATAACTCAGGGAGATAGGGATATTTAGAGCATATCCATCACAGGATTTTCTTAGAGCTGCCAGAGAGATAAACTTTATCAGACATAAAGTCCTTACTTGTACTACTTCAACAGGACCAACCAGCTCTTCTTCCACTGACACATTGTATGTTTTCWGAATAAACCGTGGGCTGGAACCTCCAGCTGCAAAGATTTCCACTGGCACTGATGAACTTCTTGGAGTGGTCCCACCTGCAGGCAAAAGGAAACAATTTTCCAGCAGATGCAAAAAACACCTACATCCAAAAAAAATCCAAACCAAACACTTTTCCATCAGTACTGCCTTTAATTTTTTTTTAACCCTTAGTGCTACTGTTATGGTACTGCCTCAGAGGTCTTCACCAGGACCACAGACAAGGGATGGGCTCTTTTTGTACCCATATTCCCCTCAGTACCCATTTTATCCATGTGGCCATAAATTTGAAGACATAGAGCTCATATTGACCAAACCATGGAAGAATCAAAAGGCTGAAAACCACTTTGTATTCTCATGCTACCCGAAGTGGGATACCATTCCTAGATTACATTTATTTCTGCCCTTACTCGGGTCATGAATATTCACTGAGTTCTCTGTTATTCTCAAAAAACAAAGAAAYCCTCAATAACTATGGCTAAGGAATGCTGCTTGTGCTGGTCATCCTAAAAACGAACTTGGCATCTCCAGTTTACCCACATGGATGTGCAAATAAAGGCCAAATTACTCAGCACATTTTACTTTCTGTTGACTCCTTATTGACTAATGAGTGAGTTATAAATTTTTCACTTCTGCCTGATCTTCTGTTCCCTATGCTGTGTAACACGAGCCAGTCAGTTAAAGGAAGATGTGATATTATATATATATATATATATATATATATATATATCTTATTTCACAGGTCCTTCCCACAGCCATAAAGAAAACTGATTTTCTATAGTACCATCGGCAGAAACAGAGTTTTGCCAGAGATGCAGCAATTACTTTGGATGAACAAGACTTCCTTCTTATCTTCAACAAACAAGAGCAGACAAAATTGCATTGTATTTTTCAAATAAAGTCTGGGAACTTATCTGACAGCATTCCTTCAAGTTAAAAACCAAACGAAAGCAAAACTCATCACGAGGACTAGCTGTGTTGACCAGTTCTAAAATCCTGTCTTACCATCAGTAGCTGTTATCCACAAGACAAACTTCTTAAGCTGATTGATTTTTAATGGGATTACTGTTTTTAAACTGATTTGTCCTGTGGTTGTATCCAAGTCAAAGTGCCCATCGTTATTGCCACCAGCTAAGTTGAAGCTTATTTCTCCATTTATGCCATCATCTGGGTCATCAGCAGAAACCTGGAGAAAAAAAAAATTACTCTAGTTTCTGTGCTTTTATCATGCTTCTATCCAATTTTACCCCATTTTAGATATAAATAAAAATCAGGTAGATATAGCTGCAGTTAAATTTGGTTGTGCCTTTGARTCTCACCTTTCTATGTAATTCCTGGGTTAAACCAGTGACAAAGTCTGCTCTTCRATGCACACACAATATCATTCCAGCAGCACGAGCAAAATCCTGCTGCTRTGGAACTCATGTGAATTGCATCAAGTTTGTGTCTCAGAGAACTGGTTTCACAGTAATTCCAAAGTCACTGGAGGTAGATTGTTCAAGAGATTTCATCAGGAGCCATGAAATCTGCACATCTGGGTATGAGCATTGCTAGTGACTCCCCCTAGATCCCAACTCCTGTTTCCTATTTTATTTGGTTAATTTGTTTATTATGTTAGAAAAAGTATATTGTATATGAAAATTATGCCCAATGCTCCAGCATTCAGCAGCCTTTCCAAAATATTGTGCCATTGTTTCAATTCCTGGACTCTAACAACCCTCAGTTTTCATTAAACAGTTTACAATAACTGAATTAAATAATCTTATTTTCTGTCATATATTTGTGGAACTCAGGATGTCCACAGCACCAGAATAAAAATCCTTTATAATTTATTCCCTGGTCTGCAATAGATTAACGTATCCAGGACACTATGATTATGGATCATCAACAGCTTTGAAAAGAAAGGTGGATTGTTTCTGAACTGAGAGGAAATCAAAAAAAGATTCCCTACTTAATAGAACCGTTCCACAAGTGAATGCATGCATTCAGCTAAAAAATGTCATATTTGCTTAGTATTTCTAGTACCTGAAGAATGGCCATTCCTGCAGTCATGTTGRTATAATATATATCTTGTCTATATGGTGTGTCTCGAAAGGTTGGGCTGTTGTCATTTTCATCCAGCAGCAGTATGTTGATAGAAGAGTTCACCTCCTTGTGAGGTGGCAAATGATCTCTAGCAGTGACCTGCAAAAACRATGCMGTGAAAAGATTGTGTTGTTCAAATGCATTTTCTGTRTGTAGCAAAAAGGATGAATGAGAATTACAATTYGAGTAAACTGTGTCACCAGTGCTATTTCTCTCCTGTTAAATTTGGAGTGAAAGTCTGGATTTGATTTTCAGTTAAGCTGCAGATCCATCCTAAAGGTTCAGTTTCCTACCAGGAGAGATCAGGTGTCACCTGCTGGCCTCAGGTTCACCTCCTTTCCTCAGGAGTCTTAAAAGTATTAAAAAGTCTTTTAATACCTGTAGGTGAATGGAGGGTACCCTCTCCCTATCCAGGAGCGTGGAGTCCCACACAGTCAGGATCCCAGCTGGACTTAGCTGGAAAGGACTGTCAGCTGGAGCGAGGGTGAGCATTCCCTGGAAGCCTCCCTGCAAACAGGAAACAGATTTGTTTTAAATAGGGCAATCACTGAGCTAGTCCCTTAGGATGCTTTCTTCTTTTTTTCCACATGGGGAAGATTAAATTTTCTGGTTTAATTGAGATTACAGTCTGTCCTGTCCCCACCCACACGCCCCCCCCAAAAAAATTAAAAAGACAGAGAAACAAACAAATAACATGCAAGAAATAACACACAGGTTGAGAATAACTTGCAGCTTTGYGCCCATTTTGTACTTTGGCATTTTCAGATTTGGGAATTTGTGCAAGCCAGAGGAGTTCCAGAGAGCCAAAATGTATTCTTTTTCTGCAGTACTCTACCTCTCAAATTTGCTTTGCTTAAGCACATTTAGGTAGACAGAAAAAAAATTCTATTCATGATAGCTGTATAGCACAAATACATTTTATATTATATTTCAGAAATGAAATATTTGTAGCAGCCATAAAAACACTGTCTTTTACCTCGTCTTCATCAGTWGCTGTTATTTGAAGAACTTCCATCCCATTTGGGAGATTTTCTAGAAGTGAGATATTGTAACTTGATTGWGACAGAACAGGATCATGGTCATTCACATCTCCAATAGTAACCAGAACTATTGCATCAGCTGTTTTGAAAATATTGTCCTGCTGAGCTGCCTAGAAAATGGAATTTATAGCTGTAAATTCCACACCGTGGTAACAACAAGCATAACACAAGGACATGATAACTGCATATTTATAATTAATTAATTTTTCCTTTATTTTGATTTTTAAAGGACAGAATGGAGCCTCAGTACTAATTACTATGAAAAATACTATTAACAGCAACTTGGATTTATGTATTATTGTCTGAAATTGAGACTGAAATACCAGAACAATCTGTACCTGAATGCCCACGACCAGATTTGGACACAATTCTCTGTCAATTGGGGTCTTTACTTCCAACACTCCAGTGTCATCAATTGAAAAGTTGTTGTTATAGGCTGGGGGGTTCACTGAAAAGCAACAAATGGGGAAAGGTTAATGAGAACAAACCCGAATGTCCCATCTGTCCTTTTTATGAGTGTTAACTTCTCAGCCATAGCAAAAATGAATAGATATTTCACATAAAAGTCTGTTTTTCAAACACTCTGTCCTCAAAACAATTCCTAGGAAATTCATTCACACTTCAAGAGACTCAAATTAAGCATTTCATAAGGTTTTCACAATTCCTTCAGGAGGAAGAAAAGCTCCTGATGGAATTATCTCTCTAGATGGTCCTGAATGCAAATTCTTTGATCAAAATTCAGCCTCTAGACTGGATTACACTTGAAATCAGGAATTGATTTTTTTATTGGAAGGAGGATAAGAATATCTAAACTTTTTAGGAGCAGGTGGACCCTTCCATAGTGACTGAGAACAGGTTGTTTTAGCCCATGGATCAGCACTGCAGTGAAGTTGTGTGCACTTCAAGACATCTCCTGCACTTCCTTATCATTCTCTCCAGTAACAGGCAAGTGAATCATCAGGAATTACTGTGTCAATGGCTAGAAGAAAATAAAGGCTCTTACCTWGTTTGATGCTGTAAACTATTTTTTCATTTATACCTTTGTCTCCATCTTGAGCCAGGATCTTCCCTGGGAGAATAGACAGAGGACCCACCTAGAAAATATTCATTAACCTGATTAACTTGAAAAAACACACACATTAACTTCAATTTTTTCATTAGATAAGTCACTGTTTTTTATGATAAAAATATGCATTTTATCACTGTGATCCAGAAAAAATTCTTTCTTTGCCATAGGTGCTTTACAGAGGAAAATTATGACTGGAACACTTGATGGATTCACTGTGTTTGAGAAACRCCAGATTACGAAGCTGCAGTCACAGATGGAATTTATGTTAAGAACATTGAATATTTCAGTTCCATTACTCTCCTGCAAGTCTATACTGCAGCCCTAATAAAAAAAGTAAATTAAAAGATAAAAATATTCAAGAAGAGGTRAGATTATTCCTTTCAGAGAATTAAAGATGAGCTTCTAACAAAAGGGACACCAGAAATGTCACTCTGAAAGTATATGTGGTTTAAAATAAGTTAACATGAAGGTAATGACATAGAAATTGGGAGAATAAAGATAATGAACCTTTTTAATTTTAGTAGATTCCTCTGATAATACTATACTGTTGTTTTTTTTTCTTAATACATACAGAAATCTGAGTGAAACAAATACATTCCACCAAGAAATCTGTACTCTATATAAAAAAAAAAGTTACAAAAGTAATATAGACCATAGATTGCCATTCAGATCCTTATTTTTGCTCATCTGTATGCAGTATGAAGGAATTACACTATTTAAAACTAATTAATTTCAGGACACATGGACAGCCAGTTGCCCTTTCAAGTTTACAATAAAAGCCCTGTTAGAACAGGAATTTAGGGGTTTTAAAAAAAATTGCCCCAAAATACAAAATAATCTGTTTCTATCACAGAAAATTCTATGCTTCATATATAACATGGCCTTTTTATCTGGTYATTGGAGGTCTACAGCTGGTAACTTTTCCACCAGTCAGCACAGAGCAAAGCAGCCCTCCATCTTCAGCTGCTCAGGGATGAAGAAACCTTGGAAGAAAAACAYCATGGAGAGGGATATTCTATTTACAGCAGCATTTAGTGAAGAGTTTTTACCTGGTTTTCACTGATATTTCCATGGTACACGGATTGACTGAAATAGGGGTTCAATGTATCATAATCTCGTACATTAATTATTAATGATGCAGTGTCACTCTGGTTTCCAAGTTTTTCCTGCATCCCAAGGGAAAGAAGAAAATAAGAAYTATTGTCATGAAAGAGTCATATCTCAATGGGAAATACAGCAGAATATTATTACATATATTTTGCAGCATTTTTAACCTGAGAACYCTCAGTCTCTCAGACCTTTTTATTTCTGGAAATCCAGTTATAGCAATAAAACTATGAACAGGTGATCTTTCTTTAGTTACTCATTTTCTATCAGGCACATAGAAAATAATAATAGTATATTTGCTACATCTGTATTATTTGCATATCACAATAATCCTTGCAAAACAACTTCTTTTTAGTTCTAAAAGAAAACGAAGACAAATACATATTCAAATCTCAATAAAGACAAACAAAAAACTGGTAAGATGAAGCAAAAATATGAGAGATCTTCCAGAATGAATAGGTGAAAATGTGTTACAATAGTGGAGAATGAATATGTACAATATTAGAGAATACACACAGAAAGAAATTTGGGTAGGTATTTGAGAGGAAATTTAAGCAATGGCTCAAATACTAAGAATGTGCTACTTTGTCTGYAGTATAAGCCAAGTTGCAGACACAACTTTTGGGTTGGGAACTCCCAAAATCGTAAATTTGTAGAAACTGGGCTGCCTTAATAAAGGAACTACCATTGTAGAACTATTGTGGGTCTCATTCTTCTTTTAATTTATGTCATACCTTTGCTTGGACTGTTAAATTGAAAAAGTTGACCATGTTGTAATCCAATGTTTTTTTCACTGCGACGTTTCCATCTCCTTCCCTTATAGAAAAGTAATCAGAGTTTGGGCCCTAGTAAATGARTAAATCAAATATTTAGCATGATTGATGAATAAATCAAATATTTAGCATGATTGATGATGAAATAAATTTTCTTTTCTCTTTTTATCGCATTTATTATTGGGCTATTTTTTGTACAGGTCGAGGAATGCCTCAACCACCACAACTGGGAAGAAAAATGCTGATCCTCTTCCACACAKTCTATTGTCTCTCCCATCAGTGCCAACAGAATTTCTATCTGATTTATCTTATCCTACATACAGGGGAATGGCATCAGCTTCCCTCCACCAGGCACAAAAGGAGCAGAGACAGCAAGCTCAGATGGGATGATTTCCACTGCAGATATCTGAATTTATTTGAAATAATCTTAGTTCAGTTGTCTTGAAGACTGGAGATCAACAGCAAATCAAATATAAACTTTAAAAAGAGGGGAAACAGCTTTCACTGTTTCCCGTTGATGCTACAAAGGACCAGTGAGTTCCTTAGCTGTAGCTGAAGATCACAAATCATTCCACAAATATTCAGGTCYCACTGCATGCCAGGCTGATCTTGTGGTGTAATTTAAAAAGTCTCTTGGAAGTTTTGCAGATTTTTAATCTTCACAGTGCAAGGGAGCACCCTGGGGATCAGGTCCCAGACTATGGATCTATGAAAYACAAACTGGTGCTCGCAGTTTCCAGCTAACAAAGGTCACTCACCCAAAGACTGTAAGTAAGGAGGCTGAATTCTGGTGAAGTATCATTATCCTTAGCTTCCACTTTTATAACTGTGGAGTTTACTTCAGCTACCTAAGACAAAAAAAAAGATCATCAAATGCTCAGTCACAAGCCCCTTTCCATATCCTTCCCAACTTGGAGCAGGAAACTTATGCCACCTGCTTAGTAAATCACTTCCCATAGCCATTTTTGGCTGGGAATTGTCTCCATCACCCCATTCCCACAGCTGTACGTGCAGCCCAGCCTTTCTTTYCCAAACCCATGGGAAGGAGCAGGTAAGTCCCAGAAGGGTGCACGTAATGAACTAATCCCAGTGTRGTCACATTAGAACGTCCCCAAAAAGTAATTTTAAAATATCATAGGAAAAAAAAATATCAGTATTTGCCATAACCCACCTCTGATACTGAAGCAATATAATTAGATTGTTGAAACTGTGGAGCATTGTCATTTACATCTATTAATTCTACAGTTCGTCCATTCTCTATCTCATCAACCTTTGGWGTGAAAGCAAAAACACACGTTAGAAATGACAACAGTGAGGTGGCAGCATTCTGCTGACATTTAATTTCATATTAAATGAGATCCTCAAAGAGACATTTCATTAAACTACCATTTAGAATTAGGGAATAGAGAGAATTAGACTAGCATTCCTTATGTATGATTCCAAAAATTAACTTTTTTAAATTTACCTTAGTTTCCTGTGAATAAAAACTCTCCTATCAATCAGCAGATTTCAACAAATTATCTTCTACGAGGTACTCTGAAATCCCTGCATCATAGCTTTAAATTAAATAGTATTGCAAAAAATAATCATTTGCATTAAATTAGACAATAAATAGAATTGATAAGGCATGGTTTGTACTTACTTCTCCAGTCTTTTGGCAAACAACAGCATACCAGAGAATTGTACCCTAAAATTGAACAAACAAGCCAATAAGTATAATAATATAATATAATATAGTCTATGAACTAATGATTATCAAAGAGCATTTATGCCAAAATTCTACAAAATTWCTTCTAGTACTGGAATCCACAGGTGTGCTGTACTAAAACACTCTGCTTAAAATTAACACTCGGTTAAATAAATCTGCTTAAATTTAACGCTTTGGTAAATATTATAAAGTTTATTTGACTGCATTCATCTACTACTGATACCCACCAACCTCTGTACCTGACTCTCTCCTTAGAAAAAAAAACAGAAAGCAGAGAACATGTGCCAGAAGCATGAAAATTGTTTAATCCATTTGGAAAACATCCAAATGAGAAATGCAAATGTAAAAATGCTGTAAGGACATTTTCATCTATTACAAGCATTGATTGTAACAGTGTCTTTCACAATGTGCCTGGTCCAAGTCTGTCAAGTACAGAGCTACTCTGAGATGGCAGCATCCAAAACACCAATTCAGTGCTACTCTGAAATAGCACTTGTGTGAGAAATTGTCTTTATTTACTCTGMAGTACTGCACCATTTTCACATTCAGAGGCAACTTCAGCCCGGAAAAACATTGTTACTGCTTTCTAAATTCCTGTTAGTTCTCCAGAGCAAGAACTGCCTAAGAAAAGGATCTATCCTTTTGTACATGAAGCAACAGAGGCCCATAAATCTATCAGTGTGTGAAGTTAAGTCCTTATGATTAAGGATTACTTTCTACCAAATTATACCTGCTCTACTCAATTATATCTGCTCAATKAAATAATTAATGTTCCTGAGAGGTGAGGGCACCTATCATAATGCATATTTACAGCTCTCAGTATAATACATGACTAGGAAAGAACCTGTCTGGCTGTTAGATGACAGGGAAGTGTACAGTTATAGGAAATTGGAGACATTTAACAGATATTTCTGAGAGCTGTATACTGAACTGTATTCTAACAAGTCACTTTTTTAAAACACCAACCTGTATTGTGAGAAAATGAACCATAATGCTATTTGCTTTCACCTGACAAGAAAACCTTGATCTCTAGGCTTTATATGCAGTAAAAATAATACCTCAAGAGCCTCRACATCCAGTGGGTTACGAGTCCTCACAGTTGCATTGCTAGATCCAGGATTATACACCAGCTCCACGTAAGCCAAGTGCTCAGGGAATAAAAACTCTTGCAATTTCAGGTTTACGTTGGGTGGGATATCTGTAATCCATTCTATATCACCTATAAAAGAAAGTGCAACAAATTAGATTGCTTAATGGAAAAGAAATCCATAGGTTCATTTCCTGTGTATTGACAACTTGATTACTGGTGACCTTTGGTTGCATTTCATATTATTTTGGCATTTTCAGCTCAACTGTAGATCTGTTAAAATCTGCTTAAGTACTCAGCAGGTGTATTGATACATTTTTAAAACAACATAAACCAAATTTTTCCAATCTATTCACACARTATACCCAGAATTAAAAAGCTTGGCGTAATTTACACCTAAATTTCCATCATTTTTTGGAATATAACTTTATGCTGCAAAACCTTTTTTCCCCCACGCTTACTGTAAGAATATAACGAAGTCCGGGAATGTAATCAAAATCAGCGATAGGCTGCACAGGATAAGTTTCAGTATTTTCCAATCACAAGGGCCTTTCACATATTTTAGCTGAATCCATCAGGCAGGTAGAATCTAGTGTGAATCTGGATTCAGGTGGAAAGTGTGTGGCCTCTCCCTTAATGTGTTCCTGATTGTACAGGACACAAACACAAAACATTGCAGCCTTCGAATCAATTCTTATGTGATTTACTACAACCACACATTTAGGAATTATTCTCCTGAAAATATGATGATCTATTTGTAATTATCAGGATTCCTGGTAAGACTGACTGTCATTGCAGTAGTGTGTGTACTACTTGCTTGGTTGAATACCAAATCTGCTTGAAAGTATGTGGAAACGTATCTTTTTAAGCTACCCAGCATGATGCCATGGGCAATTTTATTTAATAAAATTCCCTTACTCATGTCATCAAGACATTTGTGTTTATGGAGTCATATTTATCTTCTCATGGAACACATTGTGTGGATTGCAAAGCCACAATCCCCTCTCCTTTCCAAAGTCTTTCCTGAACAGCCCAAATATTCCCCACAATTTTCAGGAAATTGCAAGCTGTGTATCTTTTTTATCCACTGGTTTTGCACTCCATCACTACTGATTTAGTTTAGTAAATGCTTTCTGTAACAGTCCCATCTCTAATCTCCAGACAGCCTTGTGCTCTTGGTCTCCAAGTGTTTCAGGAACACAACCTTATCTTCTTCCAGCGGCAGGGAGTGTCTGGAATGCTGTCTGCTACCAGCCCAGAGACACTGGATTTTAACTGTGTGTGAGGAGAAAGTCCAGTGAGCTGGATACGCAGGGCTGGGTCTCAGGGGCACAGCTTCGTGTGGCATCACCCTGACGTGTGCAGTGGTGAAACTGCTGGAAGGAAACCTTCCAGGAAAACCAAATCCACCTTTGCCTGCTGCCATAGACTGTCTAGTCTTCCATGCAGAGCTGGATATATTTAGTCAGTCAATATCAAGCAGCTGCCTTGGAAACAGCATTCCCTCCAGAGGAGAAAGCTCAACAAAAGGAAGTACCAGGAAAAATTAAAGCTGGGTGTCACTCTTGCTTGTTCATCAGATATGCCAGCAGGTTCATTCACATTYATAATGCACACAAAGAGCCAGAGCTCTTACTGGCTGCTTAAAAATTAAATGGAATCAGAACGAAAGGTAATTATTTTCCTTTCTAATTCCATGCAAGAGTCAGACACAGCAGCTATGCTTCCACAGCTCCAAAAGAAACGTTTCAACAGTGACTGTATAAAAATCACTACTCTGGATCACATTTGTTTTCTRTGTGTTTTGAAAGCCAGAAGCAGTGAGGTTTGGCTGTGGACAGTCAGCATGTKCCAGGCACGTGCTGCCATAAGATCCTAAGGATTATGACATATCCCAAAGGGAAGGCTTTAGCCATAACATAACTCTTTGCCCTGTAAGACTGCTGGATAGCCATTAGGGACATCAAATATTAGCTGGACAAGGGGACGTGGGAACATTTTCTGTACTCATTTCCCATTGCCTAATGAGTCTATCCAGACATTGAAATCCTTGAATCAGGGAATTTGGGAGTTTATATATCTTTATTTATTTCATTGAACAGTTTGTCATGTAGACAGCTGCTGCATCCAGTTAACTGTTGTAAATCAATTAATAATACTGACCATAAAATACACTGATTACGTGAGGCATTAAAGTGCTGTGTGCATGTGGGAGCAGATCACACAATTCTAGGTTAGAATCCTGATTTTACCTTCATATCCATCCAAAAAGCTTGAGAGCACCTGTGGGCTGGGTGGTACATCACAGTTTATAGTTGTGGTTTCTGAAAAGAAACAGAAAAGTTGTACACAAAGAACACAGAGGAGCCACATCCAGAAACAGCACAGGGTAAATAACCTCACGCTGAGTAMACCCAGATGCACACACCAATTCAAATTAAGCTCCAAGACATTTATCTTGGTGGCACCTTGAAGGGTTTAAAGCAATAYATGACAGGGAGTAGGCAAACATTGTCCTGGACCCAATCTAGGGTTTTACTGTCTGACAAGAGTGAGTCACTGCTCAATAGTATCCTGATGAACTGTTAGTGGAAATCATAACTGAAACTACTCTTGTACCTTGGCCTTGCAATTRTTCTCTACTCCCAAGACAGCTATAAGCACAAAGCTGTTCCCCACAGAAACATTAGCAAGAATCTAGGAGCTTAGGGTAAAGGCACACTGGCAGATTTACCTGAAATTTACACTCCTTTAACTTTTAGAGAAGTATCACTTCGGGATTGTATCTTTTTTTCATGAGAAGTGGCTTTCCTAAGTGGTTTATTGTACCTCAGTCGGCTCTCTGCATTTTATCTGTGTGCCAAAAGTGACAGAC